TTCCTGGCGTGGGCCAACGAAGCTCCAGGTTTCAGGCTAGGATATCAGGAAGGGACCCTTTCCTGACGTACCTGCAATTCTGTTTGACCAACCTGTTTTTCCTTCCGTCCTTCGCCCCTCTTCTGGTTTGGTTGCATTTCCAGTCGGCCGTTCGCTTTTCTTTCTCTTGCCCTTTCAGGGCTGGCCCGCCTGGGCTATAGGGGTCTATCTCTGTGTGTGTGTTGTGTGTGTGTGTGCGGAACATCTGAACAGATGTAAAACTTTTTCTTTTTTCTACATGGTTAGGAAATGCTGGGGGTGCCAGGGATGCACACTGGACTGGCACCAACGAAGACGCCAGTGTGTCATCTGTGATATCGATCTGGGACGCTGGAGCGACGTACCTGCTTTCAGCCTCCAACATCATTTTATTTCCGCTGACATGGCACGGGGCCAAGCCGAGAACCCCCTACCTGACGTTTCAGTTCATGCTTTGCACGTTTGCCGCAATCTGGTATTTGAATTTATTTATTCCTGTCTGAGCGTGGTGATGCTTGATGTCAACCTGGTTTATCTATTCATTATTTGGGGACTTTGTGGATCAGCTTCTGTTCGTGATCTTATGTATTTGGCACTTTATGGTCCACTTTCTGTTCAGGATCTCGATTATTGGAACTTCATCTTAAAGGTTGAATACAGCTACATGGAGATCTACTTTACATCACTAATCTTGTTTAATCGCGCGTTATGGGATTCAGTTCCCAATGATCCAGTTCTGTTCTAGTGTGATTTCTATGGTGGCTCCGGCATGAGGGAACCCTCTTTAGGGAGAATGCTGACAAACGGATTTCCGAATTCACACATTTTAACCTGGTAATTCGTTTAAGTATTGCGAAACAGTCGGCCATTCCGTTCCCCACCTGCTTGCGAAGTCCCGCCATTCCTGCTGTATTCGTGACACCTCGGAACTTTCACCTTTGCTCAAGTGAAGTGTCTCCGAACAGCCAGAAACACGGTCTTTTGCAGTGACAGAGCGACAGCCCATGTTGGACCATTACATTTCAGGCTGAGGCTACATGCTTTCAGGTGTGGTCTACTTTCTTTTGATGGTTTTCTGGTGAGGTTGAACATATCGTGCATCTAGTTCATTTGAACTTGAACAGCTGTTTGGTGCCCACTTGTGGGTATGACCGGCTACCGTCCCTTCGAGGGAGTAACGCGCGACTTTATGTTTAGGGACCGAATCCCATGAACAACTGACATTCCTTCAGACTCTATCTCGGATTCATCATGTGGCTGTGGAACCCGCTAACGTCATGGCCTACGCCTCCGCCTTCGAGCTGCCCGACATCACCACCTACAACACTAACACCCTGGACTACACAACCGGTTCCGTCACATCAGAGCTCACCGCTTCTTGGCCAACCACCACCATCAATGACAATGCCATTTCTCACAGCCCATGGCCCACCAGAACACGTCTTTGTACAGCCTACAGATCTTCACCTACATTGGACCAATCGACAGCCTACGCCAACTTTTCCACCTCAGCCGCCCATTCAGTCACAACCTTTGCCAATCCATTCACATCCGATGACACCGCCTCGTTACGTCTACTGTCCCACATGCTCCTGAACTTTGGACTCACTTTGCAACTCGTGATGGGCAGTGGCTAACCCAAGAACCACCGTGCCGTTTTCTGAATGTATTTCTTTTTCTGTACGGTTTTCGCCATTTGATTTTCTTCAATTTCCGCTCATTCCTGTCAGGTGGAACGGAAGTGTCTTTGCACGTAAAATGCATTCCACAACAGAATTCGCACTGACACTTCTGAGCAAGTGTGTGTGTGTGTGCCATCTGTATAGATGTAAAGCTTCTCTGCATCTCAGGGGGCACAGGTGCGACTCTGGTTTGTGTGCCAACGAAGACGGCACCATGTCTGAGTGATATCAAAGGAGACGTCCCTTTGACATGCCCGCGCCGTTTCTTCATTTATTTTCCAATCGAAATGGCATGGGGCCAAGCCGAGAACCCCTTCACCGAATTTTGCCTGTGGGAGCAATCTGCACCTACGTTTGACAAGATCTGCGTCAGGACCTTTTGAGAAGTCAACAGGACGGACGGATGAAGATGTTTTTTTCCCCACATCTTTGTGTGGGGTTCTTGTTTTTGGTTCTGCATCCCGTCCGCCTCCTGCCCGCCTCCTCCTCCCGCCTCCTCCCCTTACTTGCTCACACACAACTTGCACACACACAACTTGCTCACACACGACTTGCACACACACACAACTTACTCACACACAACGTACTCACATACAACTTGCTCACATACAACTTGCTCACACATGACTTGCACACACACGACTTGCACACACACACACAACTTACTCACACACAACTTACTCACACACAACTTACTCACACACAACTTACTCACGCACAACTGACATGGATCGTCGCTTTGCGTGGCTGGCGTGGCACTTATGGCACTGGGCTGGCTCTGGTGACGCGCTTGGGTAAAGGCGAGTCGCCGGGGACGCCGGGGACGCCGCGGCTGTTGGCCTGGCAGGCGTGGCACTTTGTGACATCGACCGTCACTTTGCGTGGTAGGCGTGGCACTTTGTGACATCGACTCGACCTTAACTTTGTCTGGCAGGCGTGGCACTTACTCACACACAACTTGCTCACATACAACTTGCACACACACACACAACTTACTCACACACAACTTACTCACACACAACTTGCTCACATACAACTTGCTCACACGCGACTTGCACACACACACACGACTTACTCACACACAACTTACTCACATACAACTTGCTCACATACAACTTGCTCACACACGACTTGCACACACACACACACGACTTGCACACACACAACTTACTCACACACAACTTACTCACGCACAACTGACATGGATCGTCGCTTTGCGTGGCAGGCGTGGCACTTATGGCACTGGGCTGGCTCTGGTGACGCGCTTGGGTAAAGGCGAGTCGCCGGGGACGCCGGGGACGCCGCGGCTGTTGGCGTGGCAGGCGTAGCACTTTGTGACATCGACCGTCACTTTGCGTGGTAGGCGTGGCACTTTGTGACATCGACCTTAACTTTGTCTGGCAGGCGTGGCACTTACTCACACACAACTTGCTCACATACAACTTGCACACACACAACTTACTCACACACAACTTACTCACACACAACTTGCTCACATACAACTTGCTCACACGCGACTTGCACACACACACGACTTACCCACACACAACTTACTCACATACAACTTGCTCACATACAACTTGCTCACACACGACTTGCACACACACACACACGACTTGCACACACACAACTTACTCACACACAACTTACTCACGCACAACTGACATGGATCGTCGCTTTGCGTGGCAGGCGTGGCACTTATGGCACTGGGCTGGCTCTGGTGACGCGCTTGGGTAAAGGCGAGTCGCCGGGGACGCCGCGGCTGTTGGCGTGGCAGGCGTGGCACTTTGTGACATCGACCGTCACTTTGCGTGGTAGGCGTGGCACTTTGTGACATCGACCTTAACTTTGTCTGGCAGGCGTGGCACTTACTCACACACAACTTGCACACACACACACAACTTACTCACACACAATTTACTCACACACAACTTGCTCACATACAACTTGCTCACACGCGACTTGCACACACACACACGACTTACTCACACACAACTTACTCACATACAACTTGCTCACATACAACTTGCTCACACACGACTTGCACACACACGACTTGCACACACACACACACAACTTATTCACACACAACTTACTCACGCACAACTGACATGGATCGTCGCTTTGCGTGACAGGCGTGGCACTTATGGCACTGGGCTGGCTCTGGTGACGCGCTTGGGTAAAGGCGAGTCGCCGGGGACGCCGCGGCTGTTGGCGTGGCAGGCGTGGCGCTTTGTGACATCGACCGTCACTTTGCGTGATAGGCGTGGCACTTTGTGACATCGACCTTAACTTTGTCTGGCAGGCGTGGCACTTACTCACACACAACTTACTCACATACAGCTTGTTCACACACACTTGCACACACACACAACTTACTCACATACAACTTACTCACGCACAACTGACATGGATCGTCGCTTTGCGTGGCAGGCGTGGCACTTTATGGCACTGGGCTGGCTCTGGTGACGCGCTTGGGTAAAGGCGAGTCGCCGGGGACGCCGCGGCTGTTGGCGTGGCAGGCGCGGCACTTTGTGACATCGACCATCAGTTTGCGTGGTAGGCGTGGCACTTTGTGACATCGACCTTAACTTTGTCTGGCAGGCGTGGCACTTATGGCACTGGGCTGGCTCTGGTGACGCGCTTGGTTTTAGGCGTCAACTTACTCACGACAGCGCATGAAATTTTCAGGTGGATTGCTAGCAGTGTTGCATGTTGATTCTGTCGCGTTGCACAGTGAGCTGTCTGTTGGTCACTAGATGGCTGCGTTGTCTGTGACTTTTCGATTTTGGGGCTCTATGTTAGCAGTGGGACTGAAGTGTCACATGTCATGAACTCAGACAGCAATGAAACCATAGCCACCACACATCACAGCACACTTAGATTAGACAATATACAAGAACGACAGCAGAGCTAGCAAACAGCATAGTACAAATCGACACGACCGCTTGGAGCCAGCAAACATCACATTACATCTGAAAGCACCTAAACAAGCGATGCTGCTTTGACACGCAGGCTTGTATACTATGTTTCTTGCGTAGCTCTGTGGTGCAGTCTGAATGCTTTCTTTGTTCCGTTTTCATGGATGACACTGCCTGCGTTTCTGTGCCATTCCATGCATACCAGGCATACTGTGCAAGTCAATCAACTTTGATACTTTGAATCAAGCAAAATTTGTGTGTTGTTCTGAACATGTCAAGGGAGTAATGATTGACGCAGCATGACGCAGCATGACGCAGCAGTATGTCCAGCTGTTGTATTGATTGAGCATAGACTGCTGCAAGCGTCCGCAGCCACGCCATGTCGCAGCCGCATGCCAGCGGACACCCGCTAAAGGCTCCAACATTCTTTCGCTATCCACGCATGTGTTCGGTTATGTTCTGTATCTGTGTCATCTGTCACGCAGGTGATCTCTGGGGATCTTGAAGCAACGTTATTGGCATTGGCCGGTGAGCTCAGTAAGTCCAATAAGGAAAATACGCTGGAAGAACAAGCGGCTGTGCTTCTCCGATTACCACAGCAGCTGGCAGATGTGACCGCACAGCTTTCCCAGAAATTACAGAAAATTCCTTTGCCGCCGCTTGGCCAGTTGGCTCCACCGCTTGGCTCCTTGCACCCTTTGCCCCCCAGCAAGCCTGCTACAGATGCTGGCGACGACCGCGTTCGCTGTACCGTGGTAGCTCTTTCTAGAGTCGTCGTAGCGGACCTGTATCTCACTATGACAACCATTGCTCGATGCCATACCCTTTGGCTGTTGGTGCCATTACTGGGGTGTTGCTAGTTTTCAGCTTTTGAAAGAAGACATCGTAGTATTCCCACGGCCCAGACTCAACCAATATGTCTCTGACCACGAACCTGAAGTTGTATTGAAACTGGTTACCAGCAACGATCCGCTTCCAGTGAACATACGTGTGGTCGTCGGTAAAGCCGCGGCCGCTGCAACCGAGTGCAGGCCGCAGCCTGGAACCAGTCCATTGTACGATTTCTGCGAACTCCAGACTTTGATGCTTCGAAACTTGGACACCGTTCAGCTGAAAGATGTTGATCTTCGTTGCCCAGACAGTCTGATGGCCAAGCAACTGCGACAACGCTTCTACGAGATGCTGCGACGCAACGTGAAGCTAGGAAAGCGAACATTGTCCGAATTTCGAACAGATCAGCTTTCCCCGACCTACAACATTCATGTGCTGGTCTCTGCAGATGGGCAGCGATTGGTTCTGCGCGCAAAGCTGCTTTATGATCCCGTTCATGTGCCTGTGGTGGACGACGGCAAAATCACTCCTTGGAATAAACAGGCCTACCAGGAAGTGTGCGATGCTATTCAGCATGCTAGCGTGTGAATTTGAATCAGCATGGATTGACGCTCAGTGCGAAGATCTTGCCATGTATGACCAAGGGAGCTAGCTTTGAAATGGATGGACGCGCCGTGCGAAGATCCAGCGCCTGAATGCGGCCATGTGATCGAAAGAAAAGATAGCGCACATGACAGATCAGAACAGGTTCTGTGTAATCGGTTGCAGTGATTCTTGCGTCGCTTGCTTTCAGTGAGAGCTCCATTACCGCACTTGCCGCAGTCGCTTCGCAGGTCCAACATGCTGCGATGTCGTGATCTTTGCGAGTGCTGCCCACCGGTACGTCTGCTGAAAACGTAATGAACGCTCACTCTGGTGCGTCGTGATCTTTGATCGTCCTGTTACTTCTGAAACTGACAGACTTCATGATGACGTCGCCTTTTCTGTATAGATATAACAGCTTGTTATTTTGTGCTGTTCTGCCAGGTACCGACTTCATCGTGCAGATGCTGCCACTTCTGAACAGACTGTTCGAAGCAGTGGTCGCAGCAGTAGACAGCAACCAATCATAATGACTATGTAATACCTATGTTGAGAGAGAGAGAGAGAAAGAGAGAGAGAAAAAATATATATACACATAGAAATTCCAAGTTTGCTTCTGATTTGTAACACTAGAAGAACTGAAAAGAACGATCTCTGCTCCAGGTGCTCTCGGCTCAGTTTTGGTCATTCTTGCTGTGTAAAATGTCTTGCTCTCTTGCCGGAATTATATAGAATAGAAACTCACTTTACGATTTCTCTGACCGCCTTGCGCCTCTTTCGCCAATGTATGGAAGAAACGTTTGGAAGCCCAAGGACGATTGACAGTCAGATTTCTGCTCGAGATTGGAAGGATGCATGGATGTCATGTCTTGAGTGCTTGGAGCAGACAGAGGGCAGAGTCTATGACTTAGAAGGCGAAGACTGCATCATCTTGGCCCGGGTCAGGCGTCTTCTCTGCGTGGCCTCCATGGACGACTGGTCCCTTCTTAAGGTTCTGGAGAATAATGCAGCAGTGTTGCAGCTGGAAGCGGTCGTGCCACAAGGACCCTCCTGGCGTGACTTTCATGCCTTTGTCGGCAGGTACCATAAGAGTCAGTTTGAAACTGCTGTGGGTGACCTCGGCATGCTGCGTGCCGCGTGGGAGTCTGCAGCGGAGGTGTCGTTGCCATATGCCTCTTGGCTGTGTATCGCAGAAGTGCAACTGGAGGAGACTTTCTGGACTTTGTGACCGTCCGCAGTTGTCCGTGCTGTTCGATGTGGCTGTTACCTTGTCTTGAACTTGATCCGGATTCCGTGTGCAGTATATATACCGTTTATAGCCAAAGGAGCTAGCTTTAGCTTGCATGGATGGACGCGCCGTGCGAAGATCCAGCGCCTGAATGCGGCCATGTGATCGAAAGAAAAGATAGCGCACATGACAGATCAGAACAGGTTCTGTGTAATCGGTTGCAGTGATTCTTGCGTCGCTTGCTTTCAGTGAGAGCTCCATTACCGCACTTGCCGCAGTCGCTTCGCAGGTCCAACATGCTGCGATGTCGTGATCTTTGCGAGTGCTGCCCACCGGTACGTCTGCTGAAAACGTAATGAACGCTCACTCTGGTGCGTCGTGATCTTTGATCGTCCTGTTACTTCTGAAACTGACAGACTTCATGATGACGTCGCCTTTTCTGTATAGATATAACAGCTTGTTATTTTGTGCTGTTCTGCCAGGTACCGACTTCATCGTGCAGATGCTGCCACTTCTGAACAGACTGTTCGAAGCAGTGGTCGCAGCAGTAGACAGCAACCAATCATAATGACTATGTAATACCTATGTTGAGAGAAAGAGAGAGAGAGAGAAAGAGAGAGAGAAAAAAATATATATACACATAGAAATTCCAAGTTTGCTTCTGATTTGTAACACTAGAAGAACTGAAAAGAACGATCTCTGCTCCAGGTGCTCTCGGCTCAGTTTTGGTCATTCTTGCTGTGTAAAATGTCTTGCTCTTTTGCCGGAATTATATAGAATAGAAACTCACTTTACGATTTCTCTGACCGCCTTGCGCCTCTTTCGCCAATGTATGGAAGAAACGTTTGGAAGCCCAAGGACGATTGACAGTCAGATTTCTGCTCGAGATTGGAAGGATGCATGGATGTCATGTCTTGAGTGCTTGGAGCAGACAGAGGGCAGAGTCTATGACTTAGAAGGCGAAGACTGCATCATCTTGGCCCGGGTCAGGCGTCTTCTCTGCGTGGCCTCCATGGACGACTGGTCCCTTCTTAAGGTTCTGGAGAATAATGCAGCAGTGTTGCAGCTGGAAGCGGTCGTGCCACAAGGAACCTCCTGGCGTGACTTTCATGCCTTCGTCGGCAGGTACCATAAGAGTCAGTTTGAAACTGCTGTGGGCGACCTCGGCATGCTGCGTGCCGCGTGGGAGTCTGCAGCGGAGGTGTCGTTGCCATATGCCGCTTGGCTGTGTATCGCAGAAGTGCAACTGGAGGAGACTTTCTGGACTTTGTGACCGTCCGCAGTTGTCCGTAGGTGTCCGTGCTGTTCGATGTGGCTGTTACCTTGTCTTGAACTTGATCCGGATTCCGTGTGCAGTATATATACCGTTTATAGCCAAAGGAGCTAGCTTTAGCTTGCATGGATTGACGCGCCGTGCGAAGATCTAGCGCCTGAACGCGGCCACGTGAGCGACAGAAAAAAAGATCACGTTCATGACAGATCAGAACAGTTTCTGTGCAATCGGTTGCCGCTATTCTTCTGTTGCTTGCTTTCAGTGGGAGCTCAATTACTGCACTTGCCGCCGTCGCTTGGCAGGTCCGCCACGCTGCGATGTCGTGATCTTTGCTAGTGCTGTTGCAGTTGACGGTGCTCATCTGTCTGTTATCAACCTGTGCTTCTGAAACTAACAGTCTTCGTGACAGCCGGTGTTTTCTGTTGTTCTGCCAGGCACCGACTTCGTCGCGCAGATGCTGCTGTTCAATACATGCATACATACATACATACATACATTCATTCATACATACATACATGCATACCTACGAGCCACAGGGCGCGCAGAAAGACTTCGCAAAATTTGCGGTTGCGGTACAAAGAGTGCAGACCATTACTTTGGTCAGCGGACCGAGTCAGCGGAAGTATGGTGAGCACACCATCGCTTTGATAGTATGTCGGGAAAAAGACAGCAGAGCCTGGTGGAAATCGAAGAAGACGACGCAACTTACTCACAAATTACTTACTCGCAAACAACTTGCCCTACATACATGCATGCATGCATGCATGCATGCATGCATACATACATACATACACACACACACATACATACATACATACATACATACATACATACATACATACATACATACATACATACATACATACATACATACAACACAACATGTCCATACACAACTTGCTCACAGTTACTCTTCCACACACAACTTGCTCCACACCAATCCTTCACCATCTCTTTTCTCTTTCCTGCTTTCCCCATGCCATCTTTACCTTTCTTTTGCTGCTTGTTGGAAGAAGTTGACATGTGGGGTTATCCGGTCCTTTAATTAGCGCGTGGTTGCAGCAGAAGGATCGACGAGTCTACTACTGTTCTCCTCTCCTCACCCCTGTAAATCTGGTTGATTCCCGCGAAAGATACATTCCAACATCCAAATTCGAAACGCTATTCTGGAGCAACTTTGTGTGCGTGTTTCAGAGTTGGAAGGTGCCGAATGTCAGTCTTCATGTTCGGTTTTTGGAATAGGTGCTCAGGCGGTGTTCAGGAGCGGACTGGCTGAGATGTGATTGCGTCAATGTCTTGATTGCTTTCCCGCGAGGAATCTAGCCAGGCGTGGGCCCGATCCGTCCAGCTTTTGTGTTCTCTGCGCGCCTGGGGATTGCAAGGCGAGGTGGGCAGTGGGCAGGAACCGACAGGAGTTTCACAACGGTTCCAGCATGAAACACGTTTGGCAGACATGGAACCTGTTCTGTAAAATGCAAATGAGCCAAGCAGCTACATGTGCGAAATAACCATGCCGTTACACATGGAGCAGCCATGGGTGTGAATGTGAAGGCGATGCGGTGCTTCTGTCTGTTGCCTGTGACAGAGAGAGAGGAATGCCTTGGAGAATTTGTGCCCAACTCCTCCACATTCATCATGAGCAGGACTGGCCCAATCCATGAGCTCAAGATTTTGCAGGTTTTGAAGGAATTCAAGTGTGAATGATGTATTTGGGCACACATCTGCCAGACCTTGCGGTGTGTGTGTGTGTAACATCTAAACAGATGTAAAACTTCTCTCTTTTTCTTCCTTCCGTCCTCTCCCTTTCTAAATAACGCAGGGGGACACAGCATTTCACTGGGACTGTGTCCAACGAAGCTACCAGTGAAATGGGATATCCAGCTTGGCCAGCTGGACGTACCTGCATTTTTCGTTGCAATTTTTGACTGACATGGCACGCGGCCAAGCCTAGAACCGCCCAGCTGCAATTTCACTTCACGGTTGTCGCAATCTGGAATTATTTTTTGATCTTTTACGTTTGGTTTAGATTTCATTTCTAATCTGCATGTTTCAGGATTCAGTTCCTGCCGGATCATATAATGATCCATTCTTGTCTAGTGTGATTTCCATGGTGGCTCCGACATGGTGCCATGGAGCCATTTGAGGCAACCCTCTTTAGGGTGAGTGATGACTGTCCTGACTGCCGAATTAACACATTTCAATGTAGTAATTCATCTAAGTAAATCGCAACAGTTGGCCTTTCCGTTTTGCACCTTTTTGTGAAGTCCCGCGTTTCCGGCTGTCCTTTATGAACCCAGTGGAATGCATCTCTATTGAGTGAAGCCACTCCGAACTACCAAAAACCTCATTTTTACTACTGCAGCTCGCGCTTTTGAAGTTCAACATGACATGTGAGACAACAGGCAACAGGCATGTCCTTTTCCTGCAGGTGTGGTCTCTTTGGTTTCTGGTGAGGTGAAACATGTTGTGCACCTAATTCGTTGGAACTTGAAAGCCGTTTTATGCCCTTGTGGCTGACTTGAACACGGGCCTGTTGTGGCACAATCGCACGACCTTTAGGTTTAGGAACTGAATCCTGTTGTTTAACTAATTGTTTTGGTTTTCTTGTCTGTCACCAACTAGTCCCCCATTTGGTCCCTAATTTTCCCCGCGTGCCTCTCCGTAATGTGTCGTGGGGTTTAGGTGTGTGCGCTGTTTTGGTCAGGTCCGTTTCGCCGTGTAGGTTGGTTCCGGAGGTCCGTCTGTTCCCCTCCCCCCCCTGCGCTGTTTTTGGCCGTCTGCCCATCGTGTGTCCGCTTTTTTCTTCCTCTTGCCTTTCAGGGTTGACCCGGCTCTGGCCGGGTGTGTGTGTGTGTGCAACATCTAAACAGATGTAAAACTTCTCTCTTTTTCTTCCTTCCGTCCTCTCCCTTTCTAAATAACGCAGGGGGACACAGCATTTCACTGGGACTGTGTCCAACGAAGCTACCAGTGAAATGGGATATCCAGCTTGGCCAGCTGGACGTACCTGCATTTTTTCGTTGCAATTTTGACTGACATGGCACGCGGCCAAGCCTAGAACCGCACAGCTGCATTTTCACTTCACGGTTGTCGCAATCTGGAATTATTTTCGTTGTTTCTACTCTAATCTGCATGTTTCAGGATTCAGTTCCTGCCGGATCATATAATGATCCATTCTTGTCTAGTGTGTGTGTGTGACACATCTGAAAAGATGTAAGACTTCTATTTTCTCTTATCAAGTTTACATGCAGGGGGACTGGAGCCGATTTGCCTATCCAGTCCAACGAAGCTATGGCATTTCGGTGGATGAGTGGTCTGATCAACCACTTGTACCTGCAATTTCGTTTTCTCAATTTCAGCTTTGACCGACATGGCAAGCGGCCAAGCCTAGAACCGCACAGCGGAATTTTTACTTCACGGTTGTTGCAATCTGGTACTTATTCTCTGTTATCAACATGGCGATCTTATTCATTTTTTGGAGTCTGGTTTCGATTATGTTTGCCATTATTGGAAGACCTACATCGTTTTCGAGAAGTACTACCAGGGGATCTACTTTAGGTCTAATTGTCTAGGCTGGTTTGCATGTTACAGGACTCAGTTCCTGATGGATCTATTCAAAGATCCATTCTTGTCTAGTGTAATATCCATGGTGACTCCGACATGGTGCCATGGAGCCACTGGAGGCAACCCTTTTTAGGGTGACTGAGGACAGACTTGACTTCCGAATTTACACATTTTAATTTTAACTGGTAATTCTTTGTATTGCGCAACAGTTGGCCTTTCGGCTTTGCACCGTTTTTGGACATTCTCGCTGCTCCTGCTGTCCCAGTGAACCCTGGTTACTGCACTTCTACGACTGTGAAGCCGTGCTGAACAATCAGAAACTTCGGTTTTTGCTGCAGCTTCAGCTTTTGACAAATTGTCCGAACAACAAAGGCAGGCACATGCTTTCCAGGTGTGGTCCTTTTTCTTTTGATGGTTTTCTGGTGAAGTTGAACATATTGTGCACCTAATTCGTTGGAACTCGTACAGCTGTTATATGCCCTCGTGGCTGACCTGACTACCGTCCCAGCAAGGGAACAACGCACGACCTCTAGGTTTAGTGGAGCTGAGTCCTGGGTTTGGTTGTCTTTACCTATTTTCGAGCAATGTTTCCGTGGCCTCATTCGTCGACATCATGGCCACCCTCCGCGAGTTCACCGCCTACGGCACCGACGTGGCCACCAACGGCACCTCCTACATCGTCAACGATGCAACCCGCCCTGTCTTGGACAACTCCTCCACCGACACCTACTCCACCTACAGTACACCATCATCCTGGACACCAGCACGACCAACCACACTATCAAGTTGCCCCGACCACCTACCCGACGTTGACACCAGGATCTACGGACCATCTCTTTGGGCAACCTTCCGCGCTACAGTCGTCATGGCCTACTCTGACCCCTATATCGACCGCGACCAGCTCACCTACGCCACCAACATTCCCGCCAACAACCAGTTCACCTCAAGTTTCGACAATTTCACATCAAATCTTCCCAATGTTGCCACTGACCAGCCGCTTCGAAGCACCTACTTTTCCCACAGCAGTGCCAACTTTTGCAGCCCACGCTGGACCTTCGTTCTCCGCCCCATGCCAAACTATACCACCAGTTCCTCACTCTCATGCTATACCTCTCCACCGGCTACGCTACCATCTCACACTATCCAAGCCAATCCTCCACAGGTACCGACACCGACTCCAGCGGCACCCAGACACACTGCCGTCAAAGCAGCACCAAAGGTTCGCATTGAAAAACGCTCAGAGAAACCGCGCCGTCCTGCCCATCCACCAGCGGCTCCTCCTCTAACTGCTGCACATCCTCCAGTTCCAACTACCACTCAACACGAACTCACCACCTTGGGCACCACCACAAAGGAACTTGCGGAATCTGTTCGCCTCATTCAGCAGCAACAACAGATCATCATCGAGTCTCAGCGTTTACAACAACAACAACTTCACCAGGTTCCTCCCACCACCACTTTATCTATTTCACCACCGACCACTTCAGTTCCAGCGGCCAAAGCAAGACCAACCGAACCACAAGCTCCAGCTCCCACCGCAGCTACAAGCAAGACGGCGCCACCTATTCGCATCCCATCCAAGTCACCAACGGCTGGGACCTCAACACACCGACCTCGCCGATCTCGATCTCGCCGACGGTCACCTCATCGCCCTCAACGTCACTCTCAACATCGCCGACAAGCACGTCCTCGATTTCCTCTACCACGACAACGCTCCACTACACAAAACCCCAAGGGTCGCCGAACACCTTCACCACATCGCCGCCGATCTCCTCGTCGCCCAGATCTCCTCCTGGCCCTCACCGCACTCCGAATCCTCCTCGTCGCAGCCGAACACCATCTCGCCAGCCTATAGTTTTGACTCTGGTATCCCGAAACCTGAACCCTTCGTTTATTCCTACCCCTAATGCTGATGAGACATGGGGAAAATGGGATGACAACCAGCCTGCCGTTCGCCGACCTCGCTCCCTACCTGGTCCTCCTCCACCGACACCTCCATCTGGGCCTCTGGGCTCTGTGAATTGCCAACGGAGACTCCGACGATTCCGACCAGGAAGAGCACTTCACCATTGGCAATTATGAGCCCGGCGATATTGAAGTTGAAGAGATGAGAGCGGCAGCGGCTGACACAGAAAGGGTCCCGCGTGTCGCCGAATTGGATCCCACTCATTCGGTTCAGCTTCGAACAACATTGGATCCCCCTACACGTTTACTCTACAACAATTTCATTGATGAGATGTTCACCCAACTGGCGAAGCCCTATCTCACGGAAGCAAATGAAACCGTATACATCAAAGCAAGCCGTGCCACAGTGACCAATATTGCACAATGTTTTGCTCAGGCAAGGCTGTTGGACATCAACTTAGCAAAGAGGACTCGGGGTTACTTCGTCGAACCGGAATGCTTGCTGACCATCACGGTTCCCACGGGCCTGCCTCCTTATAAGGATACCTACAAAGTAGGAGAATTTGCTGGGGCCTACGTCAGCTATCATAAAACCAGTTGGGAATCAGTCTCAGTTGCCAAAATCTTGGCGGAGAATTGTGTCCGACCAGCAAGCTGGGCGAAGAACGAGGCAGGCACCCCGACGCAATACCCATGCTACGGGTTCTTCGGATACTCTTGCGAGATTGAATGACCCGGATGATTTCAAGCTGTGGCCGATCAGCGTCTGTACATCCAACCTCTACAAGATTGGCAAGGGGCAAAACCCTTCGGGGATCCTGGCCACGTGCAGGAGCCCAAAACTGATCAAGGCCCAATCGGGAGGAAACGACCAAATTCAACGTCTTTGTGCTCTCCAAGGCATGAACTCCAAGTGCGCGTCGGTCTCCTACGTGGCATCAACCCACCAGGTATTCCCGCAATTGATCACCAAGGCTCCTATTCCCAACCGTGGCTCTACGCCTGCAGTTGCCGGCGATCCTCCTGAACCTTCAACATCCAATACGACCCTTCCACCAAACAATGAGGCTACCACCACTGACACAGCTCCCGCACCAGCCACGACAACCCACCATCGAGCCCGAGCACCTGATGATCGCAGCTCTCATCCAGGCACCTCTGACCCTCACCGCCG